GGAGCTAGAAGATCCCCCACCTGAAGATCTTTCATTGGTCAAATCTACCAGCACAGCCCCAGCAGGAAGCCAGGAAGGGAGTGCAGCTGACGATGATGCATCAGGCACCAAAAATGATGCACAGGAGAAGAGTGAACTACCAAGGCAAGGTTCTGGTAACATAGTGGAACACATTTTGAAAGAACTGAAAGGTATCAACAAGATACAGGAGGAAATATCTGACCTTAGGCAGTATTTAACATCTGTAAGTGGCTCAGTGGATGAAGTATCCTGCTGTGTTGATGCAGTGCTCAGTGAAATAGGTGAGCTGTACTGTGGAGCTCCAGCCGCACCTCATCCAACCCCAGTTCTTCAAACCACACGCATCAGACGAGGAAGTCTGGGGAGACAGAACGCCATTGTGTGTCTTAATGAGAGAGACCAAAGTCCAGTCCTGGATAACAGAGAGTTTGGAAAGGACTCCACAACTTTGAATAGATCACCTGTACCATGGCAAGACCTCAAAGAAACTCTTGCTGCTGTGCATCAGATTGGCTATGATAAGTCAGAACAGAGTTTAAACACTGAATTTAGTTCCCTGAACCTTCACTGTAGACAGAACTGCCAGAGCACCAGCTCTTCGTCATCATGCCATAGCTCCAACTGCCCTGAAGAAGGTTTTCTCTCTGGGGACACACAGTGCAATCTTTGGCATCGTAGAGAACAGGGTTGGAGTGAAGAAGACATCTTCTCTTTTCCAAACAGCAGTAGAGAGCTGGAGAATGATAGAGATGTTTGGAAGGAGGAGTCTCAAAGTGGCACAGTGGGAACCTCTCCAGACACCAGATCTGAACACCTCTCTCTGCTGTTTGGGCAGCAGTATGACTCGTCCTCCAGTTCTTCCTGTAGGGTCGTTCGAGGGACCCTAACAAAGGAAGATGAGGAAGGCAACCTGGAGTGCGACTGTGCGGCAAACTGCCCGTTTTCCCGTAGTTCTGGTTACCACACAACGGACGCTTGTGCGGACGATCTTGACAGCGAGCCCTCCAGGAGCTTTAGCTGCTCCACTGTGTTGTTGACAGACTATGATGACACGCAGCATTCGCCCTGTGAGGACTACCCCTCATCTGCAGATACTCTCGATCTGGGGTCCACTGAGAGTCTGGACAGGGAGTGGACGGATCAGAGCGTTTCTAGAGAGGAAGTACGGGAGTCGTTGTCGCGAGCATCTTCTGAAATGGATTCCATGACCCCGCCTCAAACCCCCAATGGCGGATTTCATGAAACAATCTTTAGCGAGGCCGTCGTCACCTTCAGGTCTGCTTTGAAAGGGGCAATGAAGAAGTTGGAAGTATCTAACTATGAGGTAGTGAAAGATGATGCTAACACTATTTCTCGGTTGCCTCCATCCACACTTACACAATCCAGTGAACCCACTCAGAGGCAGAGCAGTGCTGAGGGCAAAGAGGAGGATGTTCATCAAGCTGCAAATGCCACTCTGTTTACCTCTCCAGTTGGAGATGGTGGGACTAGTCAAACACATAAAAATACAGCATCCTCGCCAAATAAGCTCCCCATTTATCAAAACACCCCTAACAAGTGTAACTCAGCAGAGTTCCCTCAAGCAAGAGATGAAAAACCAAGCAATGAAGAGTCATCCAGCCTTGAATTGACCCCAAACCACAGCCCTGCCGTACGGGCTAAATGTGCTCTGGACCCAATCAGCGAAAACTGTCCCCCTACTGAGGGGGACCAAGGAAAACCGGCAGATGCCGGTCATAGAGAACGAATCGCTAATTTTCAACGAATATTGAGAGAAAAAAGACGAACTCATCAAAGATTCTCCAGGTCCACTCAGGGTTCACAGGGCTCCTACGGCTCTCAAGGGTCTCAGGGATCCCAATCTCAGGAGGAATTTGGCCCAGGTATTTAAGATTTATTCCTTTTCTTGAGCTTTTACCAGAATGGCAGAATTACAACTAAATATTGTGGGGAAAATCTGTCTGCAGAAATGTGAATACTTTAAGGTACATCAATGAATTAGAATATGATCTTAAACTTAAACTTCGATCATAAAATTAGAAGATTAAGCTAATATAGATATATTTCTACTCATTTTTATTATTGACTCACAGCCCATAAAATCCACTTAATTAAAGATGTTGTTTGTATATTACCATGATTATTTAAAAATGTAATTCTGATATTATTGTCAGACCTGAAATCAGATCAGTTTAAACAGTTTAAGTCTCTTTAAGGAGTCATAACCAGGCATTTGGTATATGCAGTCCTTCTGAAATTAATTTTAAGTTCCAGTTTAATTAGTTTTAGGAGAATTTGGCTTTTAAATAGAACTCATTTTGGTCACTATTTTATACCTCAAATTTATTGGAAGGTTACGTGTGAGAATTTGACTTGTGTTTTCACACATTCATGTGGATGTAGCATTAACAGTTAGCTCTAGTTAGGTTCCATCGTTTCCAGGTCACTTAGGCTACGTTCACAATGCAGGCCTTGATGCTCAATTCAGATTTTTTTTTGTAAAAATCAGATTTTTTTTGCATTGTCGTTCACGTTTCCAAATATATGCGACTCGTATGTGATCTCCTGTGTGCACTGCATTCATACAACGCAAGTGTCCTGCATGAGCAGTAGAGGACGCAATGCCGTCACAAGCCAGGGGGCTCTGTTTTTATGAAAGTAAACATGGATGGTAGTGCGGGAGCACATCTAGCGATCTTTGCCAACCTTAAAAATACAATCTCTTCAATATAACTACTACTCTCTGCATCATCGTCCGCCATGGTTGTTGTTTTTCTTGCCGCTTCTGCATAGCAAGACGCAGAAAATTGTGACCTTTGTTGGATGAATCCAACCTGGCTGTTTAGACACAGCTCGCATTTGAAAAGATCAGATTCGTATCGGATTTAGGACCACCTAGCCAAGTGACCTGGGTCGCATTGGAAAAAATCGGATCTGAGTTGTTCAGACTGCCATTAAAAGATCAGATCCAGGTCACCTATTGGTAAAAAAAAAATCGGATTTGGGTCGCTTCAGGCTGCAGTGTGAATATAGCCAATCACAATCGGTAAGAAGTTACCAAAGAAGCAACAGTAACGGATTGTCTGCAAGTAATTCCCTGAGTGTTGGAATTACCTATTTGGTGGAATAGAGACAGGAGTGGTGATAGCAATGCAGGCTAATATTAGCACCCTTCCAGGAATGACATTAATCATGGAGGAGGATTAAAATCCTGCTTTGTGGAGATTATTGGAGGTATTCTGGTTTGAAGGATCCCACATACATAAAAAAAAAAAAACATAATTTTAGGCATCAGATTTTCTGTTGCAACTGAAGCCAAACAGTAACACATAAATTTTAATATGAAAAATTTAGATTTCTTTGTGATGACTCCCTTAAAGAAAGGTTTGTTTGTAGCTCTCGGAACGTTGCCTAAGAGTTTAAAAAGCTTAAACAAAGCTTGTTTGAAATCCAGCTTAAAGCCCTCTAGGTGGCACTGTGACTTAAATTTTATGTATCTCCAAAACAAAACCATTTGAATTTGTTTACAAGTAGATAAGTTATCATCCTTGGCCTATTGGGCCCAGATTGTGTGAAAATGTGCATATTTTTATTGGGACAGCTGACGTTATTAAAGTCGCCAGTAGAAATGGATACCAAACAAACACCATCTTGTTATTATACTATTGAAGATTATACATCAATGAGGGAATACTGCGCGGCTCTGGTGATGATTTTAAAAGCTTTGAGATCATCATTGGAATTAAATGCCAAGTAAATGGCAGAAATTAATCACAGTCTGTTAATCAATCTGTTGATATTCTGATTAATTTTGATGATCATTTAAAGCTACTTTCAATAATTTTTTCATTATTGTTCTTTAATATTTTCTCTTTCAGAGTTTGGAAGAGAAGAATATCAGGTTATACAAATACTGTAATCTCTATGTTTATTCCTGCACACCTCCTTTTTTTGTCTCCAGATGTGTTCGCTGTTGGGTTGTTTATGCATTTTGTTTATTTTTGTTGTTTGTCTGTTTTTTTTCTTCAGAATTATGACCAGGAGTCTGCAGACTGCAGCTCTGGAGCCATAAGTGGCTCATTGGACTAAACATAACAACTCTTAAACTGGGTTGAATAACAAGGAATCAGCTAATGTTTTTAAATATAAAAAGAGAAAATAAGGTTTTAGCAGTTTATATTTTTACAATAGAATGACCGCCTTGCGACTTTATTCTCCTAATTTTACTCACTTTATTCTCGTAATGTTATGACTTAATTCTTGAAATAGAAAAAAACCCTCTAGCCTGGTCCTAATACTTATGTACACACGTACATTGCTAGTTTTTATCTGTTAGCAGGCTTAACAGCGATTTACAGTTTCGATATCCACACTTGGTGTCCTTGATTAACCAGTATGGGGTCTTAGGATCCACCACAACAATTAAATGAAATATTAAACATTATTGTTACGTTGAAAAAAAAAATCCATCCCTTAAAATAAAGAAATTTAAATAACTCTTTGCTTTGGTACTTTGGTGCCACTTGGTGGATCAGAAGCAGATTGTAAACACATTTTCTAGATGATGCAAAATGTTCGTTGCAATCTGTATTACTTTGGTCAAATTAAAACGTTTTATGAACTTGAAACATGTTTATCCACACTGTTAGATGTCTTCAACTTTTATTTCCCTTTTTTAACCTTTAAATTTCTTTTTTTTTTTACTTTTGTGTGAATCTGTGGGCTTCTGTTGTTTTTTTTTTCATTTCACTGCCTCCACATCTGTATTTACCCACAAAGGGACAATGAAGGAGGTTTTATTCTACATGTTTCATCATCACAACAAGTTTACCTCATTGTGTGACTATTAAGTTCTACAGCCTTTTGGGTTTTGTATGTTTGCCTGATGTGTGGTATCAGAGAGGTTAAACTCAACCAGACCATTTTTCTGATGTCTTATCTTAACTGTTTATCCTAAAACATCCATGATATTCCCTCAGGTTAGAGATGTGGAACCCAACAGCAGACAGGCCTGGCTTAAACCCGGGTAAGTCAAACTTGTGTTGTGCCTGCAGGCGGTGCAGGTAAGGAGTCGTTGGTTAGCAGCATTCTGGAGGTTTTCTCTGATGTAGTTTCAGCCTTTTTCTCTAATATCTGCTCTTGTTTTGTTGACAGCGGTGGATCTGGGCTGTATGGAATTGACAGCATGCCAGACTTGCGCAAGAAGAAGCCCATCCCTTTGGTCAGCGATGTGGTCAGTACCATTCACTCACTCTTCTTAGTGTTGTCATTCTGGTTTGCTTTAGGTCTATTTTAGGTTTTTGGTTTGTCTTTGTGAAACAGTGGCGGATGTTAGAGATCTGCTTTAAATGTGAGGATTAACATGTTCTGAACTTTTACTGCAGTGATTTCTTGTTTTCTTTTTTTTTAGGTTGGTAATTTTATGTGATAGACCAACAAAGAGTTGCACATCCAAGTTTTATGCTAATCTTTAGGGAGTGTGGTCCAGTTGCTCAGGTTGTTGTTTGTCCAGGCTGGTGTAGTCATGCTGGGAGCAGTATGGAGACAGTTTCTTTCCATTATTTTTGCAAAAAGGAGCAATTTGATGACAATTTTTTAAATAATAAAAAAATGGTGTACCAGAGAGGTCAGATGACCTTTCACACTTCAACACAAGCAATCCCCTTTGGGTAAATGGAAAGGAAGAGACCTCTTGGCATAAGACCAACCGCCGGATGCTGTCTGTGCAAGAAAACAAACCCTGAATACTTCGTCCCTATGAAGGCAGAATTCTGCAAAAACAAGACACATGATAAATATTCATTGGAGCAATTTTATTTAGTAGCCAATCACAGGCAGTTTAATTACTGAGGTTGGTTCCACACTCAAAATCAGAAAATTTGTGGTAAGCGAATAGAAACGGGTCCTCAAACGAGTAGGAAGAATCTACAGGCGCATAAAAAGCAAGGAAGGAGCACAGAATCGTGGCTATGATACATTGGGGGGTATATTTGTATTAACTCTGCACACATAAAATGTTTAAAATGTGTGTGTAGAGTTGGGGTGAGTATTGGCACGAGTGTTACGATACGATGCGTGTTACGATACGATATTATCACTATACTGCAACATTACTATATATTGTGATACCGTAATTTTCGGACTATAATCCGCGACTTTTTCCCCATTTTTCCACCATTTTTCAACTTTGCGGCTTATATAACAATGCGGCTTATCTATGGACTTTTACAGTTAACAGCCACTAGGGTAATACGGTACCTAAATCTATGGATTTTTCCATCCACCATATTGACGTCAAATTTGCTTCACACACAAGTAGCCGCGCGTGCGAGAATGCGGACGTCCTCCGAAAGACAGACATTGCGATCGCAAGACAGTTTGTGTGACACCCTCATTATGGAAAACAAAACGTTGAAATGCTTATGATGCAGCTTTTAAGTTAAAGGCAGTCAATTTGGCAGTAAACGAAGGAAATAGAACCGAAGCACGTAACCTTGGAATCAACGAGTCAATGGTGAGACGCTGGAGACGCCGGCAGGAAGAATTGTCTCAATTCAATTGTGTTGAAATGTTAATAAATAGGAGCCTCCCCACACAGTTGCCTCTTTCCCAACAATCCTCTCTGTGCACGAACCATTTGGTAATTAAACATAAAAAAACCTGCAGCTTATAGTCCGGTGCGGCTTGTATATGTACAAATCATGCAATTTAGCTTCTGCGGCTTATATTCAGGTGCGGCTTATAGTCCGAAAATTACGGTACTTTTAAAATTAAACGTGTAGTTAAAAAAGTAAGTGCAGTATATGTTCATGAGAAGGTATTGATCATTCAGTTATTTTGGTATCCATGTTGTTTGGGGTTTGAGTCAGTCCAAGGCTTCCACCGTGAATGCCTCAATTACAGATATGGCGATGCAGCGCACAGCAAAGGGGGTCCACAGCGCTATCTACCAGAGTAACGTCGGAGACATAGCCCATTTTCCCTCATTATTTTAGGTAAAATGTTTTTTTAAGATTGATATTAGGAACTGAAAGATCGATATTATATTTGGCAGCCAAAAATCCCAACATATCGCAGAATATGTATATTTTTCCCCCACATCCCTAGTGGAGTTTAGTTTACAGGATGTGTTTTAAATAAAACTGCCCTAATGAGCATTTCTTTCTTTCTGCAGAGTTCTGACCTCAAGTATCTCTATGTCAGGTCTAAGCACCTAAAACATCATACATACATACATACAGGGAAAGAAAGAAGGCACAGAGACAATTAATTTAGTTTTACTCACGAGGAAAGTAGGAAGAGACTGCAGAGTTTACAAATCACCAACCCTCTCTGCTGGTCTTCCGCTTTCTCCTCGGTATTTATTAAAGTCAGGGGGGGTCCCTAGTTACACAAGCGGAGGTTGCGCTAAAGGAATAGGAAACAAGAAATACAACTCAATTTGCAGCCTCAGTGAAGAGGTCAATTTGCATTTAAATGTCTTGCGGTCAAATGGTCCAAGAACCTCCTGGTTTTGACCTATACTATAATATGTCACACATTATACATCATAAGAACAAACATTAAGTATCTTATACATAATTATTCCAACACTCTACCATTTAAGAAGTGGCGGTGGCAGCATCATGCTGTGGGGTTGCTTTTCTTCCCTTTATCCAGTCATGCACCACTTTGTGTTGCTCTATCACATAAAAAAACCTGATGTAAGGGATTTAATTTTAGGTTGTAACGTATAATTTATAGTATTTTTTTTGTTTGTAATTCTGTATGTTTAAGATGAATTTGGGTTAAAACTGTCAAAAACACATGAGGACCTTTGCTGAGTCCGAATGCTAATTTTTCTCTCCCTCCTCTCCTAAACCTGAAAATATTCCCCAAAACTCTCTTGAATGCTTTCTCTCTTCCTGGTCAGGCTATGGTAAGTTCTAGAAACACAGACGCCCCTCCTTTTTCCTGCCCAGGTAAAAAAGAAAACAAACAAACTAGCAAGTCGAGGGTGAATAAAACCTTTAGCAGCATGGTGATCTGTTAGACTGCACCGGTTTAATCTGAATAAAAACATGCATGCTCCCTGTTGCTCCTGGGTAGCTTCCCTTCCTGCTTGATATCATCAATTCACTGTAGTCAACCAATCAATCCTTCACCCTGTGGTTTATGTTTCTTCCTCACTTGCTGAGCTTTTAGTTAAACTAGTTTAGATGAGAAATCTGGGGTACTAACACAGTTCTGTTTCAGATTGATGATCTAAACTCCTTTTTTTTAGCTTTTGCTGTTGATCTCTAGCTGCTTAAAACGAACAGCACTCACAAGGCGTTGACAGAAAAGAAAAAACAAGCTGTGCTAACTCTACTGACCAGCCCTTTAACCGCCCTCACTCGATACTGCTATAGCAATAAAATGAAGGTGTTCTCGGTTTTTGCGTGGCACATCATTTGTTTATTGGATGCAAACTCATGCAAATTTTCCTTGTTCAGTCCCTCGTCCAAGCCAGGAAGGCTGGCATTGCCTCTGCTATGGCTGCACGGTCCTCGTTCAAGGATGAGGAGCTGGTAAGTAGCACTTGTGCTTGTTCTGTTTTCTTTGTTTTTATTTTTAAATTTAGGCCAGCATGAGGAATTTTAGAAATATAAAGTTCTGTTTTCTTCTTTTAAACCCCTGACATGACATAAAAAGATTTCCTTCTTTTCCTAGAAAAACCATGTGTACAAGAAGACACTGCAGGCTCTCATCTACCCCATTTCCTGCACTACACCACATAACTTTGAGGTGTGGACGGCCACCACTCCCACTTACTGCTATGAGTGTGAAGGGCTGCTGTGGGGAATCGCCCGCCAAGGCATGCGCTGCTCCGAGTGTGGGGTCAAGTGCCACGAAAAGTGCCAGGAGCTGCTTAATGCTGATTGCTTACAGCGTGAGTACAGGGAAACTACGTGGGAGAGATGCAATGCACTCTTGGTCTCTTTTTACTGGAAAATTTCTTTTCTTTTTTTTTTTTTACTAATGTTTAAATCACATTAGGAAACCATTTCAATCTCCTTTCTAGGGCAGAACATGCAAGATTGATTATTAGATTATCTCAATCTAGATTTAAAATTGGCAGCAACATCAATTTAGATAAGTTTTAATTGTTTCTATGAAGCTTTTTGTAAAAAAAATTACATTGCAACCACAAATATATTTTGTTGAAATCTCTGTGAAATAGAAGAAACATTTTATATTATTGGAAACTTTTTTATAAGTTGAAAACTAAACAATTTATGACTACAATATGGTCAGACAGTTTACTTATGGAATAAATTTGCAACAACGTCCATTCAAAATAGAGGAATTTAATAAATCAATCAAATGATGCAATGATGTCATAGTTCGGCATTGATTTTGTGTTTAAGAACGAAGAAGAAGTTTATCTTGAATTCAATTCAATCCAATTCAATTCATTTTATTTATATAGCGCCAATTCACAACACAACTCATCTCAAGGCACTTGAGAAATTTAGAATAAGTTTAAAAAACTATTTTACAGCAACTGGAATGTGTTCAAACCAATTCACAATGCAAATCTAAGGAGGTAGAAATAACATTATTCTTTATATTAACATTTAAAGAAATTATTTTCTGAAATCAGAAATAAATAACTATGTAGATATTTGTTTGCTAACCTTCTGCGTTTTTCATGAGTAAATGGCCCTTAGTAGGATTAGATTAGATTAGATTAGATTAGATTAGATTAGATTAGATTAGATTAGATTAGATGAGCTTTATTGATCTCACAGCGGAGAAATTCACTGGTCACATATTGGCAGAGTAATTAAAGAAGGTGCAAACAAGGAGGAAAAGGTGCATTAGGAATAAACAATATATATACAGTTTATCAAGGTATATACAGTATAGCAAGATAAATAAGGATTAAGGTGCAAGTGTACATGTATGAAAAACAAAATAAAAATAAGAAATGAAGAAATAAAAAAGTAACCGCTGTGGCAAACAGCTGAGCGTCTGGTTCAGAGTCCTGCACTGGTCTGATTTTTCAAAACTATATATGTCCGTACCAGTAGAGTTCAGAACCAAGACCCGACCCATTACCTGCAGTTATCCCCATTTAAAACCCGGGACTGCATGCACCCGTAAATGAGAAAGTGCGACCCGACCGGTGATCACAAAGTGTACATGAAGCAGTTTTCGCTGCGCTCACGGATTAACAGCTATACATTGGCTGAAATACAAAGGTTTGCTTCCTTGGTTAAAAAAAAAAAAAAATGCTCTAATCTGGGTGTGCTTTGGTGGCACAGTTAGAGTGCACGACACATCTATGGAGGCCTTAAGGGCAGATTAGACTTCTGTAGCCGCACACATCAAATGTCGCTTGGGTCTGGTCGCGAACCAGTTTTGCTGGTATGCTTCTGCACCGTCGGTCGGGAGTTTCTAGGGATGCACAGCAGTTTCCCACCAAAGCACAAGGTGGAGCCTATTCGAGAACTCGCAATACTTCGAGGGATTGTACTTCCAAACCTCCTCGATTAACCTTTCGTCGTTTTTGTCCATTGTAATTGTTCCTCGGTTTTTAAAAAATGGTGCACTCCGGTACAGAATCGAGAAGGACGATCACACAGACAGCCGGAAAGGAATACCAAGAACCAATCACAGCTGATTTTTGTCTGTGCATTTCCGCTTGAGGTCTGTGCGGGTTTGCGACCGTCCGACGCCTAGTCAGGATTTTTCTGAGGTGCGCGACGACGGTTACAGAACCTCGCATAGCTCTCCCTCTCTCTTTTTTCCCCCATTCCTGTCAGACTTCTGTACAAAAAGAGCCGCAAAACCTAAAAAAGAAAAGAAAACAAAATGGCCGCTATCTGGATATTCTTCAATCAATTTATTTATTAAGATGTGAGAGTTAATAAATAAAACATAAATAAGTTTCATACATGCTGTAACTCTGTATGATACCTGCCTGCATTTTGTTCATTTATTGTACAAAATTGTACATTTAATACGGCAACCCGCTGGATACCCGACCCAGTTTAGGACTCTGATCTTGTTAGCTAGCATGTAGTTAGCATGTTGTCGCCATTAGCTTTGCTGATTGGCTCTCAGAACAGAGAAACACATTAAATGATCAGAAATCTTTAAAAACCCAAAATAGTTTATAGGGAGATAGTTTCCGGATATTTTTCCAGACCGGCTGCAAAGGCTGCTCAGGCACGATAAGATATGCAAACCTATGTTCTACCTGCAGTTTTAGAGCAGCCGTAAAAGACAGGTGAGGTTATAGGCCAGGTAGTTGGAGGTAATAACTTTATACATATTATTTTTAAACTAGTTATAATCGTAATTGCATATTATTTATTATGCACTTTAGATAGGTAGCCCATCGAAAGAAGTAAATTAGAAAAGAACATTTAAAACCTTGGACAGTTGTCTTTCTGTTGACCGATCCGACAGGGGGTGCGTGACCCCTAGGGGGCCACTGAGGTACTGCATGGGGGTCGCAAACGTTTGGGTTGATTAGACTTCTTTTTTAATATTCCACCCCTGCAGTCTTTTTCTACTAATAGAAATGTCTTTAAATACACATTAACATGAATTCAACAGACTGTAGTAAACAGATAAATGGAGGCAGAAGATGTCTTCCAGTCATCAATGCAAACATTCAGCGACACACAGGAGCTCTTTCAAGCTGGGCACCGTTTCATTCAGAACACCTGTCCCATCAACCAGGAATCAGAATCAGAAATACTTTAATAATCCCAGGGAGAAATTACTTTAGTTACATTGCTCCATATGTAATAGAGTGAATATAGGACCAGGTTGATTTAACACAATTTTATACAATATATATAACTAGGGGGTCCCCGCTCCATCTCGCCATCAGTTTGAGGGTCCTTAGCCTGGAAAACATTGAAGAACCCCTGATCTAAACAGCTGCTTGACCTGATATATGGAAAACAAGGTAGATCTATAATAGTTTAATAACTCAACTCAACCCTATTTATAAAGCCCTTTAAAACAACCATAGCTGCCACAAAGTGCTGAACATATCAGATAAANCAGTGTGAGCGGCCATCTGCTGAGGCCGACTGGGGTTCAAGGAGACAGAAGCAGAGATACAAAAAGCAACTGTAAAAGGCGGCCCCGTCTGTTTAATAACATTGCTAGTTAATTTATTATATTTGTTGTAACGTCCAGGTTACAACAAGTATAAAAAATTTAAGCAAATTAAGTATATATAAAAAAAATTTGCAAAAAAAGAGAGAATCTGAGTTTAAAACCAAAGAATAAAAACAGGTTTTACTCAAATATAACAGACCATATTAATATTCTATTCCAAAAAAAAGGAAAATAAATAACAATCCACAGGACTTTGTTTCCATGTTTGAAGACGTTTCGCTTCCCATCCAGGAAGCTTTTTCCACTTCAAAATTTCAGGAATAACGTTGAGTTCATGGTTTTATACAGTAGCCCAACAAACCCTGTTTTTGTTTTAAAAACATGCAAATTAGAACAGCTGAAGGGGTCCATCCATTTGAAATGGGGGCCGTTTGGCTTCTTTTGTTAGACTGCAATACCCCATACCCATCTAAGTGTCTGAAAGGTTGGTCGTTAAAGGGGATTGTTGGCCTGGCTGAATAGATGTTAATGTTAATATTCTACTTATTCTTATAAATGTGCTTTGGTTAGTTTAGTTTTTGACTTATTTTTTAACTTCTGTAATTTTTTCGTGTTATCCATCCTACTGATTTACAATCTCTTTATCTTTTTTTTTCGTTCCACGGAAACAAATAAATCAAATCACACATTAGGCTGTTACAGGAAGTATCATATGAACACAATAAATCACAGACATTATAACCAGATATGATTTATCTCTGAAAACAACATATCAGTTTTAATCTATACTGTTCAATAACATTGCTAGTAAGGTTGGGAATTGATAAGATTTTCACGATTACGATTCCCTTATCGATTCTGTGAAATTATTCGACTACTTATCGATTCTCTTTTCGATTCTGTGAAACAATGAACATTGGTGTACCTTCACCTGAGACAGTCTATTTCTCCCTGCCTCGGCGAAAACAGAAGGCAGTGAACGGGAGCTGCAGCCTCTGAGCCAGCTAGGCTACCCGTCTCGTCACAGTCATCTAAATCTAATGGAGAAGGCAACTGTTAAATGAAAAAGCATTACTGTACAAATTCAGGAAATAAATTCATCTCCCCCTGATTTAAATAAACGAGCGTCACCTTTCACTCGCTCCCTGAACTGCGGAGCCACTTGGTAGCATGTTTAATAACCGCAAAGAGAGGTAGGAAACTGGTTTATTTCCAGAAATGGCATAATATATACTAGGAACCACATTAAACACAGCCAGGGATATAAAACTAGCTACTTACCACCAGAATTTCCTTCCATGCTGGTCGTAACTTTAGCTTCTTTCCGGAAGCATCACAGCATTCTTTAAAAGGTCTGCCATGTTCTGTGCGCAGGTGCTTCTGCACGTTGGATGTTTTCCTCCTGCGGATGTAATTGCCTAGCCTGACGTAGTCCGACTCAATTCTAGTCAGAATATGAGTCTGATGCTGCTCCATAGAGCTGTGATTATGGGGCGTGTTTCGAACGAACCAGGAAAAAAAATGCCTCTGCACTCAATTGGATAGATCTACAACCANCCTACAGCCTCCACTGTGGCTCCCGTCCGCTCCGCTCTGAGTTCCTTGAAGATCGTAGAGAGCATGCGCCAGATGATTAAATTCAAAGCAGCAAAACATGCGGAAATGATCCAGGGTTTCCGCGGATCATTAAAAATAATTACAATTCATACATTTTTGGGGGATTTTTTTCATTAATTTAATAAATTTTTATTTTTCATAAATTTTTATAATTAATTTTTTTTTCGGTGTAACAATAAACATATACCG